CCTGCCTTCTTCCCCTCCCATAAACTTTTGGACTAGAGATAACTGGCACGAGTTCAATCTCCCCTGGAGCCACTACTGCTGGCAGAAGATTTCTTGCCACTGTACTTCTGTTACAAAATAACAATACTACGTTACAATTCGAAGTAAACCCGTAAGAATTATTGCAACTTGAGTTGCTTAATTATATGACATCATCCAACAATGACACAAACAATGGATAATTTCATTTGTAGTTGGCAGTTGAAGAAGATGAGCAAGATATTTTAAATAAAAGCTCACCTGCTTTCCAATGTTGAATGGGAGATATTTGTATTTGATCATGTGTACAATTTGGCGCTTCATGGTAAGCGCAAACAAGACTATCCAATAACACAGTAATATAGGCCAAAAGACAGGAACATCAAACATCGAAAAGAAGGTCATGATAAATGATATACAAAAAGCCTTTGTGATGGCATACCTGAAACAGAAAAAGAAACCAAGAAAATCACTTCCACATATACACATAAGAAAGGACAGTAAACTAGTTGAGGTACTCTGGAAAGAGCTTTTTCCCGTCAAACCTTTTCTTTGTCCATTTATACTTCAAGTTCACAACATGAAATGGCCAAAGAATTAGTCCATTAGACATAATCATGCACAAACGAAGAGACTTTTACAGGAAGCTGCAAGCATGAGATCAGCTCACTGGCACAGCAACTGAAGAAAACAAGGCTTAAAAAATTGACAGACTAATTTGCCGATCAAATAACTATTATGGAGGCTGCATTATTGATGGTTCGTAAACAGTCTTCCACAGATTTCCAAGGTTTGACAGGAAACCAAGAAACACCTGAAAGTTCCCATATCTGACTGTTAACTTTTCCAAGGGACAAGGCTAAATTTCACATAATGTAGCACCTCAGCCACATCAATCGACATGTAATTTAACAAGTAAAGAAAAGCTCCAAAGTGATAAAAAAGAACTGAGGAACCAAAAAAAAAGCAACTACAGAACTTTTGGTGAACTTCAGAATCAGCAGAGTAAATAGAACAGTAGTGAGTGTAAGAAAGCATTTGAAGAGAACGAAGCACTGTTAACCCTAAAAGAATATTACGAGACAAACACAACCCCCCAACCCCACGGCAAAGAAAAATATAGGGAAAAAAAAAAGAGAACTAAGATTTTTCATTTACTAAGTCAAGGTGCATTGCCTTGTCACCATTTGAATCTAGGAGGTGGGCCACTCTTAAGGAACCGGACATCAGTGGCTGGATCATAAAAATTCAGAGTGAAGTCCCACCTTCAGATATCGGCAAATACTGTTGGATAACAAATCAGCTCCTAACACTCATTGAACCCGAGGACAGAGGAAAAGGCATGTTGCAAGATTGGAAAATTAATCAAAGTTCTTATGCCAAGCAACATACTAGGGTTTAGGATTTGGGCATAGGATTCGAAGTGGGACTCAAAGGAATGATGCACATATCGAATTCCCATCAGACATATCTTGCATTGCATGTGTAACAAGACTGTTACCTAAACAAACCCATGCAACAACATTCTTCAAAATTAGCTCGCATAAACAAATGACTAGGAATAGTAATCCAACAGGCCTCCCAACTTAAAATATGCAGGTGCAAGTGAACCAAATGGTGAACAATAACCAAAATCAGGCAGATGAATAAACTACGATGAACGGTATCAAGTCAAGATCCTGAGCCTGCTTTAGAAACTCAGATAGCAGCAATAACTGTGCCTCAATCTTCAATATTACAAGCAAAAATATGGAAACTTCATTGAAAAAAAAGAGAAAGAAATCGGATAGCAGATATATGCCCCAATTCTGTACCAACTAACAATCACTAAAATTATTCATTCGTTAACGCACAGGTTCTTCATATAGTGAATGTTGCCCCAAGAGGAGTAACATTTTCTACAAGTAACATTTACAGTGCCCCAATATAATTACACCTTTCTCAAATTTCCTAAATCTCGAAAAAAATATTGCCAAATGTTGCAGTTTAGATTCTTCCAGAACCACACAGTAATTCCAAATTTATTAAATTAACACAAAACAAAAAAATTAGAGTAAGAAAACCAATAGAGCAATGAAGTAGAGGCCAATCGGTTACCCTATAGCAGATTGAAATTGTATAGATTAACCTAGCAAACAATATTGCTATCCAGCCTAATAAGAGAAACACAGGAAACAGAAAAAGGTAATAAACAATTACCAGAACTTGAACTCAGGGAGACGGCGAATGAAAGGCTTGAATTCATCTGAACCTTTGGTGGGTAACATAGGCCCATCAGAAGGTTCCAGCTCCGGGTCAACAAGGGGCGACAAGAATCCAATCAACAAGTTCAGTATGTAGATGCCCAGACCATAGGTAACAATGTAGAACCCTTGAATATAAAAACCCGCAGTGCATAGATAGATGCCAATACAAAGGTTCCAATCCATCTGTAAACCGCATGTGGAGTAGTCTTATCTAGATAAAACTGGAAAAGCCTTGACATTTTGTGCATCCATTGGTTCACTGATTCCGTAGCTGTGCCACCAGTAGCCCCACCTCCAATACCCTCCATGAAAATTTTAGCTTCACAATCCTACAGACCCTAAGCAAAAGTCCAATCAACTCAAGCCCACATTCTTCCATTATAAACACACACACTAACACTATCTACACAAGATACACATAATTAATCATGCCCTTGTTGGTTACCAAGGAAATGGAAGTGAAATGAACAAAATGAAGGGAATCTCCGATTTAGGCACCGAAAAGAGTAAACCCAAATCCAACTATTGGGCATACGTGAGACATCTTCAGTTTTTCTAAAACTGAAGCAATTAAACGCAGAAAACCCAGAATTGGTTTTCTTCCAATCTCTCCAACTCAATATCTCAGTTAACAACCAGACGGCTACAATTTAACTAGGATATGAAAAAATAGAGATCAAATTGAAACTAAATTAAAACCATATAAACCCTAATACTCAAAATGCAAACACTTCAGAAGCAGATCTATAATGGGCAGATCTCAAATCACAAGCCCTAGCTTTCAATAATTAACCATTTTCACATGCTCATAGAACTCTCATATATAGAGGATTACATTATCAAATAAATCAATCACTCAAACAGCTGTGAGATTAAGTTTGAATGATTGAAAAGTGCATAGCAATGGAGATTTACCTTCGATGACTGCAGAAGAGTAAAGAGAGAATGTTTGGCCGTAGGAGGAGGAAAAACGGGTTTTGTAAAGGTAAGAGAGGTTTTACAGACAGCGAGTCTATGCGGTTGAACAGTAGCTGAATAAAAAAGTCACCTCAGTCCAAATGACACCTTGCAGGCAAGAGAATATGCTTAATCCTCTGTACAATTTCGTCATTTCTTAGTTTAGAATGTGAGAATTATTTATAGTATGCGTGGACCATTTTAAATAAATTCATTAAATTGCTATGAATATTTTTTTCAAGATTATTCGCATTGCACGGGTTATCCCTTGTATAAATATAAAACAGTTAGTTGAATTAAAAGTGAGCGTCATCTAACATTAAAACTCAAAACTAATTTAACTGTTGCGTTCAATTAGATCACTGATTATATCTCCTAATTAATAGGTTAAAAGGTTGGTATTGTATGATAAGAGCGTTTATGAATTTAACATTAGGGTAGCATAACAAGATATGAATGAATTGTAAATATAGACATGTTAAGTTTAAAACTTAACAATTTCTTTAGGATTAGGATTTGAAAAATTTATCTCCCGTGAATTCTATAATCTCAACGTGAATGATTTGTATTTGATCAGATTAGAAAAAAAATTAATTGAAATGTATGTAAACTTACTCAAATACTTTTAATCGTAATACCAACAAAGTATTATATAAATTATAATTGTATCGAGATTAAGTCAATTTTTAGTTTATATAGAGAGAAAAAAATGATCATAGTATGGAGTTTTTTGATTTAGATATCATAAAATATCCATCAAAAAAATGATAAGATTAACAAACATATTATAATACTAGTCATTACATGTACCTAAAGACACTATATAACAAACAAATAAATCTTACACAATTGTCCAAATTCAAAAAGAATGGCCTAAAAATATTCATACTAAATTTTTTTTTTAAAATGACTCGAAATATATCACCGATCATCCTCCATATTAATAGAACTGTCGTAAAAATATATAAAACTCTTCAAAATAACCCCATATATACAAATATCTCTGAAAAAAAAAATAAATACTAACATAATCTATTAAAATTTACAATCTTTAAATGATAAATCAAATTTTATTTATTTATAAGACTCATGAATTTATCACATTTACCACCACTAAATCCAATAACAGAATATCATAATAAACTCAATCACCATATTTTCAATCCACCCTATCCCCGTGATAGGTTACAAGCACTAAAGGTAAAAGTACCACCTCTAAATGTGAGGTGAGGTTACAATCTCTTGAGGTGGATTTACAACCTCTTAAGGTAATATTATTACATTCAGAGACAAAATTATCACCATTATAGATAAAATTACGATCTTTAAAAAAAAAGTACAAATTTTATAGACAAAATTATCGTCTTTAGTGAATAATATTTAATGACAAAAAATTCACAACCACACATTTTTTTGCGGCACAGTACTGCTATTTGACTAGGCGGTACCATAGCCTCTCCCTTCATTCTTGATGGTTTTATTGAATAATGATAAAATTATGTGAACCAAATTATCTGAAGTCGTTGAATTAGTGATGAGACTTATTGATTCGATAACTATAAATAATTTAATACACATTTTGATGCACACTAATAGCATTGCTCAATTGATAAACAAGATAGTGGGTGGTTTTTTCACATGTTTTATAATATAAACTATGAGAGATTTTAATAAATTTATCTGACGGTCTCAAATAAGCTCATCAAATTACTACTAATCCCTCTCAAAACTATTCACATTGCACCGTATCTGTAGAAATGAATTGTCTCTAGTATGAATACAAAACAATTAGTGAGATTAAAAGTAAGCGTCATCTAACATAACTAATTTAAATGTTGTGTTCAATTAAATCACTGATTATGTCTCTTATTTAGATCCCTATAGTATTGCTCATACAAACATAGAAGGTTAATAGGTTGGTATTGTATAATAAGAGAGTTTATGTTTTATAATATTTGATTAAGTGTTATATGAATTTAACCTGAGGGTAGCATAATGGAGATAGGGATAAATTATAAATATAGACATCGTAAGTTTAAAATTTAACTATTTTATTGAGATTAAGTTATGAGGAATTTATCTCTCATGAATTATTTGGCCTCGACGTGCATGGCTTATATTTGATCAGATTGAGGAAAATATTAATTAAGATGTATGTAAACTGACTCAAACTCTTTTGATCGTAATACCAACAAAGTATTATATAAATTATAGATGTATCAAGATTAAGTCAATTTTTAGTATATATAGAGATCAAAAAATGATCATAGTATGGAATTTTTTGATTTACAGGTCATAAAATATCCATAAAAAATATAAGATTAACAAATATATTATATTATTGTCAAGGGATGTAACACATCCTTGTAATATTATATATAGTTTGGTTTATACAAAGCATAACAATGATCCAGATCCTTTAGATCCGACTACTTATACTATAACTTAAATTTTGATAATTTAACCACAATAACTCAACCAATGTATATTAAAAAATATATTCTCTTTGCACGATGACACCCTAGTTTAGTTAAATGACCGAATTAAGATTTAGTAATATTCAATATCAACCCAAAATAATATGACAATGTCAATTGTAGCCCAAGTTTTACTTTTATAGTCTATGTTATTTTATTAGAAAATGATAGTGATGACATCAAAATTTTGACACCAATTCTTAACAACCCAATTGTATAAATAGACTAAAGGGTTGAATGTTCATGGTCTTTTATTATATATTTCGTCTCCTGAAAATGTAACAAGGTTATCATTCTCGAAGATATTATTGATAAGGAAAAAATTATATGTAATCATTGGATTAATATGAGACCTACTGATTTAATGATTATAAATAATTTAGTTGATATTTTGATGCACATTTATAACATTGCTCGATTGATAAACAAGATGGTGAGTGAATTTTCCACATGAAACAAACTGTGTAATGCATTTTAATACTATGGTAACTGGTCCAATTGGTCGAGGGGCCATCTCTCTTTTGTGCACCACATGATGTCATGCAATTTTATTCATTAAATGGGTAATAGGAGTCAATAAAATTCATAAATCTAAGAATTCGTGTTGAATTGGTAAAAAAAAATGATAAAAAATGTTGGGTAGTTCTATTGTACTGGGAAAAAAAATTAGAACCGTAACAAAATTTATTATTTTTTAAGGTTTAAGTTACATTTTTTAAATATAAAATTACAACTATTTGAGGTAAATCCGTAATAAATCATAAAATATTATGATCGATTATGAATACCTTTTAATCTGTTATAACTTCACCTTTAAAAGGCGTAACTTAACCCTAAAAAATTATAATCTTATTTTTAAAAATTATAACTTTCAAAACCGATCATGAATTTTTAGTATTGTCTTGACATTTTCACTTATAATTTTTTCTTCAAAAACGTATAAATTTCAGTACTCTCGTTACTTAACTGTTCCGAAAAAATATTTAATATATATAGAATTAAGGGTAATCTGTGCCTGAAGGGACGGTATAACGTAAATAAAAAGTGATGGATTTGAGAGAGAAGATTCAATGTAAATAGTTTTAAGAAGGATGTTAATGGTCATTTGATGAATCTATTTAATACCGTCAGAGAGTCACCATTACAAATAGTCATAATTTTTCATAAAATCATCATTGATATTGTTTGGATTAAAAGACACTATTTCAAATGATTGTACTTTTTCATAAAATTACCATTTATACCTTTTGGACTAAAAAGCACCATTATATATGGTTACACCCTTTATGAAAAATCACTAGTGAATCTATAAAGATGTGATTCTTTGTACTCCCAAAACACATCACTGACCAATTAAAGAATTGTTCTCTCATTCTAATTTTCTCAATTATCCAAAGTACTGAATTAAGTATTCAGTCTTTCTTTTCTCTCTCTCTGCATATTGCTACATTATTATTTTAAGTTCGGTTCAAATATAAATACAAAATTGTGTTCGTTAAAGTCTTGGAGATTGAAGTGTTGCATCTTCAAGAATGAAATATGTTTTATCTTGGAAGACAATTGCTTATTAACTTTAAGCATCAAGAAGAAGCAAATTTGTCTTAAAAAAACTGTAATTACACAAGACTCAGATTATTGTTTTTATTATTGGATTTCTGAATTTTACTATTCGTGTTATTCTGCATCAATGCAAGTGCACTGATTTTAATTTCTATACATAATGTTTGGATTAGTGCATAAGCTATACTT